TACTACTAGCGTGGCACTTGTTACTAATAGCTTCTTGTTACTACTAGAAAGGCTGTGTTTTTGTCCGGTTCGTAGAAGATGACAAGTCAATATTCACATGCGCGGTTGCCGCCGCCATTGCCAGTTGACACCACAAACACACTGGGTTTTGCTTTCTCCATAACCTGGCCACTGTTGACGATCATCATCTAGTGGACAATTAGAATGACACCAGTTTTGTGTTTCTGGGCATCTCACATGTTTTGTGTTTCCCTGACATCTCACTAGTAGCGATCCCCTGGCGGTTTCGAGCTCATCGATGTGAAAAGCGAATAAAAGGTCTGGTAGGCGTCGGCGTTCGAGATACCATGGGAACCATGCCTTGAGATGCCTGGATACATGTCTATCATGTCTCAGTTTTTGTTCCAGCAAAGGAGTGCACCGACTGCACACAGGTCTGGGACAGGACATGTCAGGGACATCATGTGCCCGGCTCCCCTTTGGGCTTCATGGAACATGTCAATTCTGGTACCCAAGAGGCTATGGAAGGAACATAATTGAGGCTAAGGTATGCTAAAGTCGTTTGTATCGTACTAGTGAAGGACCTGCCACACCTAATTAATTCGCACTTGTGGACCCTCCTGGCGAATACAATATATAAACGTGTTGAACACATCACCTTCTCAAAGACTTGGATTTGTCTGGGACAAAAATCTTCCCCACAACAAAAACAATCACCCATAGGCCCATAGCGAAAAATAAGGAATCACCTGATAAGCAAAAGGCAGGGAGAGTCCCTAGGGCTCCTGGTCCTCCTGAGAAGATGATTGGGGTGGATGGCAGGGGGCCTAACCACCTGCTGAGATGGTTGGAGCCCTAGGGAGTAGTATGTGGATCCATAGGATTCGAAAGATAAGAGATGCCCATGCAACCACCCGAAGATCCACCGTCCTTCACCACCAAACCATTTGGGGATCTTCCGGTCCTTGCTCAAAACAGCCTGAGGCATATACATATTAATATACGGCGCCAAAGGGTTCTCCGTCTGTTCTCCAAGAGCCGCCACCCACTTCCACTGTCCCAAAAGGTCGACACCGAGGTGCACCAGGCGGCCGTCCCAAACCCGTCCGGATCCGAAAACCACCGGAGCGGTCGCCCCGAGGGGCCCGGGTGCGGAGCGTCGAGGCCGCGCCTGCTCGATCGGTTCCAAAAGGCGATTCGAGCCAATGATGTCCTGGAAGCAGTGAGGCAGAAAGGAACACGAAAGGAGAGGGAGCACGAAGATGTCGAGTCAAGAGACGAAAGGAGACGAGGCGATTCATAGCGATTCATGGTTTTCTTGAGAAAGAAGAGTGCTCATCCTGCATTTGGATGGGGTAGCCGCTTGCGGGGACACTGAGCTACCGGATCTCAGTAGCACTACGGGATCTCAGTAGCCAAGGTCTAGACAGCTTCAAGACCGTGTAGGATCTTCGAAGCACACTCCGAAGAATTCAGACTGTCGTGGACCTGTCTGAACAAACATATATACCATCCGAGAATCGGGTGAATGCCTTTCGCAACCCCAAAATCAGGCCATGGGAGGAGGATCCAGGCCCTAGGCTAAAGCTATAACTGAACTCAAGGTTGCTCAGGCAACCTTGCGTGATCAGTTCTTTCAGGCGGTATCTATACTTAAGTGACTCTGCCCCGACCGCCAGCGGCTGGCATTTTGCTCGACCCACTCGCTCCATCGGTCGACATGCTCGAGTCCGGATCTGCGAGGACGGAGGGAAGGAGGCGAATGATCCTTCGATAAGTCGACCTCCTTCGACCCTCCTATGAAGCCTAGCTGTGTCTATCCTAAAAGGAGGCCTCCCAGTCGCGACGAGCCCCTGAAAGAAAGGAAATAGATGAGTCTACCCAGCCAGGGCCAGGTGGTCTCCCCATTTAAATATTCACACCAGCGTCTCCCTTCGTAGGTTTTGAGGTATACTTGTCATGACTAAATCATGATTTATCAACCTCGACTTTGGGCAATCTAGCCCTATTTCATTTCATTGTATTTGTTATAGACCAACAAAGGAAAGGGACCTTCAGGAAAATTGAACAAACGGACCAACCACTCCAGGAGTCCTTGGCCTGGGACCGGGAACAATGCATGATTTGACTCAATTGATTCATGCGTATGGCATGCATTGGCATGCTCGCCGTTAAGAAGCTCAGGATACACCAGGGGCCACCAATCACTTCACTTCAACTTGTGACAGTGTAGCGGCTGGAACCTTGAAGAAAAAGCAACACTCCAGGTGTCTTCCATGTCTTTCACTGGGAATCCCAGTATGACATAGTACGACTCCAGGTGCGCCGAAAGTTGAAAGGTGTACGGGGCACCGAGTGATACATCATGGTAGCCTCTTGATGAATAAACAGCCCCCAAAAACATGGATTGTACAACCTCTTCAGGCCTGGGGTTGAAGTATCATCAAGATTCTACCTTATCAGTGACCAAACCAGCAGTTTTCTTCGGCTTGGACAACGGCCGGCTTCTGAGGCCTTGGAGTCTATCAGTTAGACCCGGATGGCATGGCCATTTGGAAGACCATGAAATCCAAATGCCAAACAGGTGGTTTTCACTCCACTTCCATTTAAGTTCCAGGAAGAGAAATCTTAAATTCCAAGAAGGAAGACTCACCGATTTTACCTAAAGAAGACCTCTTCTGAGGTGAACTCCCTTGATGGCCCACATGAGTTGAAAACACATCCGTTGGACATCAAACACCAGAGTCATCCAGAGTCCATCAAGGCATTGGCAAGATGTGCAAAACATTTAGTTTATTATCAATTCTTCCACTACATGACACTTGGATCCATGTCAGTTAATCTTATTGTTGAACTTTCTATAGCTTGCGCCCTAAGGCTCCGCCCTTCTCCAATGGTGGTTGGGCTTGGTTCCGGGCGAAGGCGCGTTCCCCGCGTTTGGGTGGTGGTGACGTCCGATTCCGGCCACGTAGGGCAAATTAAATATGTCTGTTCAACTCCCTGAAAACATCGTGGTTACAAACACCACCATGCACCACCTGTTTGGTCGTTGGAAAATGGTCATCCAGGATGACCACCATCCAGGCATTTTCATGATTCTTTCGGTGTGGCCGTCTCTTCCCTAGGGCTCCTGGCCCACCTCCTGAGGTTCGATGGGCCAGGGGTGGATGGCAGGGGGGTCGAATACCACCGAACCTGAGGAGATGGGTGAAGTCGCCCTAGGGCGTCTGTACCACGTCTTCAGATTGCCATGTCTCAGACGGCGCCTTCGTGCACCGCCCGTCGCCCGCTCCTCCAAATACTCCAGTAGCCCATCTTCGTGCACCGACTGAGCCTGACCGAGTCGTCGTTCTCTCGGTGGGGTGGCGCGTACCCGCGTTTACCGCGGTGCGGACCAGTCTGATCGGCTGAAGTCTGCGGCAAAAGAAAACCGTTTGGGCTCGAACGGCTCCTTTCTTCGGATGTGGGACCAGAAAGCTCCATATACCTGGAACTTCCTCAGAGTGCTTTTTTCAATCTGCGGCGTGAAAAACATCTTTTGGCCACCGACCAAAAAAAGCCACCACGAGGTCGCAGGTATAAGTACATAATTGTCCGTAGTCTTGACACCCCAAGGTACCTGGACCCCCCAACTTGGGAGGCGGCTGAGTCAATCAAACTTTCCAAAACAACCCCCTGAAACAAGCATGGAAGTGGATTCTGGATTGGATGGCCGCAGGAAAGAACAAAACAGGGGGTTGTTCACTTCCATGTTTCTTGTTGTCTTTTTGCCTATTGTTCTTTTTTTTTACTGTACATGTCTTTACACACCAATCTGGGTGTTTGATGTGCCCTCCGGCCAGTTTCGGAAGACATGCGACCCGTAACCCGTCAGAACAACGGAACCAAACAGGAACCAGACTGGGCCCCTCAGTAGGGTTCTACACTCAGCCGAGGAAGTGACAGCATAGTAGGAACAAAACGCGTGTTCGCCCATGGAAACGCGACGCCATTGTATTCTTTGGCACTGGTGACTTAGGAACTAGACTGGGCCCACTGGGAGTTGGAAATCCGCTGTCAGCAATGGGATTCGTAAGGTCAATTGTGCTCGTGTTGCTCTCCAACACAAGCGTCCATGAACATCATGGATAGGAAGAACAACCCCGATCCTTGTGGTATCTTGTGATCTATACTTATACTTGTATCACAGGCACAGCAGGGAACGAACCATAACAAACAAAGTCACCAACATCACCAACAGGATTCTTGGGGCCAAAAAATCACACACGCGGTGCTTTTACAGAACAACACCTTCTGGGACGACTGGGACGACGTTCTGATCTGACTGTCGACATTCCCTTGGCACCAGCTTGGCCCAAAGGCCGCCTTTGGCTTCATCAAGGAGATTTGCTCCACCTCACCTGGCAACGGGTTTTCCAACATGGAGCAACAGTCCAAACCAACCAACCCACCCCCTTCTACGGACCAAATGGACAAGGCGAGAGTAAGGGAAGTCCGCAAGTCAAGGGAAGTGCGGAAGTTTGTTGAGGTCAAGTGATGTTCAACTGGGTTGGCACGACATCGCATCATGCTTGGCATGACAATGCAGTGTTCACCTTTGCCTGAGTACCTACCAGGACAATCCATGCATGGAATATTGACCTATATTGGGGATTCATTGGGGTAAAGCTTTCCAGGTAAACGCCCTTCGACCAATGCAATTTGCAATTTAGCTGCCTTCAAAAGCATTGCACAATCCGCCTCCCTCTGTGTCTAGATTCAGCGTAGCAATTGCTGAAGGCTTGACTGGACACTTTCTTAATCATTCTAATGTGGTGCCGAATTTCTGGTCCCTGCACTTGATCAGTATATATATAATAGATATATTAAGAATTATTCCGATGTGATCCACAGGGTCCTCAGGATTCGTGATGGACTTGGACTCCATCACAACCCTTCTCAGGCTCCAAATACCTTTGAAGATGCTTTCGCAGACCCTCCAGACCCGAAACACCCTCCAGACCCTCCATCTGGAGACGACATGCGACAGCGACCACATCGTCCATTCTGTTCAACCGTTTTTGGTCGCCTCCCAATTGGTTTTCGACCTTGAATGGAAAAGACATGAAGATCCTCGACCTGATTTGTTCAACTCATGATGTTGTTCCGCTCTTTCGTCCGAACACATGGACTGATCTTGTTCGTGGTGGCAGCCTTCCTCGTCCATCACCAAGTCACCAACCCCACAGTTCTGAAGAGAATTCCTTGCATGGCATGTTCAGGAGCCCCACTCCGAAAGAAGAAACCACCCACTCCGGTCATCTTATGGTCTCCCACAAAAAACCAACTCGAGAACAGACCGGGTGCCTTTAGAGGATCAAGGCCCAGGCCAGCTCTTCAGCTCCCTTCCCAAAACCGCAAGCTTCCGACCGGGTGCCTTGGAGGATCAAGAAGCGATTGTGGTCCAAGTCCACTCCGCGCTTCCGCAACAAGGCGACCACCTCAAAACGTCGAGGAGGGAGGGACCGAAACGAGTGCGTGGAGCGCGCGTGGAGCTTAACAAGTGCCAGTGGACATATATACCAGGACCGACACCAGTTGAGGTGTCTATAAATAGCTTCTTAGAGGTGAGGAACGGGGTGTCCAAAAACCACCGGACTTGGTTTCGGTCCTGGTTCACTCTATATATATATACATAATACCAGATGCAAGTTTCAGGTACTTTTTGTGACCCATCAAAAGAAGTGAGGTTGCGCTAATTACTGCTGTTGCATCTTGAAATTGTGAACAGATTGATTTCTCAAGCTGTTTAAACACATCGATGTGATGGGCAATTCATTGTGATGTCATGATTCCAATTTGTGCATATGGAGTTAACAACACCATCCTGACACCAGAACTCACTCTCATGGACTTGCATGTGCCTCAAATGATCTCAAATGCCGCTCAAATGCCGGACATGTCTTCATGTCTTGCGCAACCACCGACCAAAACCACCCAAGTTAGGGGCTTTTTGCAAACCAGCTCTCTCTCTCTCTCTCTTTGGGGTTCGTACACCCACACGGACCTCTCTGTTTGCGCCTCTCTCGTTTGGTGTTTCCAGTGTGTGAAAACCAACCGACCGGAGCCGTTCGTCTTCAGGGTTTTGGGGTGATTGATAGTTACATTTACCCCATTGATGACCCATCCATGTAGATCTATATATGTAGACCATGCATGGTGTAACTCTTCCAGTCACATGGATGGTGTTGGCTATACATTCCTCTATAATAATTATCCCTAGGGCTCCAAGTACCTTCTAAGAAGGTGTTTGAGGTGGGTTTGGAGGGTCCAAATACCCTTCTAAGGAATTACTTGGAGCCCTAGGGCCCTAGGGTATTGCTCTTTCCTATCTGCAGCGGGGTTTTCACCCCCGCCACACCTCGGCCGACCCCTGGCCACCTCGGCGGACGACGAAAAAAGGGCCTCAGTGAAGTTGCTGGTCTTCCCATCCACATAGTACTTGGACTGATTGTTGCGAAACGCCTCGTGGCGTTTCCATGAAAAAGCCGGGCATGAAGCAAAGCTGTGGGCACAAAGGAGCTCTGCGAAATAGAGTTGTGTTTGGAAAATGAATCACGTTGAAAGCACTGGCTGGAAAAACGAGTGGATTCTGGCGTGAAGGGATGGCTGACTGTATCGGTGACTTTTTCTTGTGACCCTCATGCTGAAACTGTCACTTGGTTTCATGGAATGTTTGGCGAGCACAAACACATCTGAAGGACATAAACAGGGTGTTAAAAACAACACATCACAAAATAAAACCAATTGTTTGTTGGAAAGGTCCATGTGTTTTTGCTTAATAATCTGTTCCAGGTGAATCTCCTAAACTTGGGCGCTCCATAAACACCCCGAGATTGATGTGTCTCCACGGGCACTCTGTAGCGGGGGATCTATGGGCCAGCCACGCACCGCGCCTCGCGCGTGACGGTCAGAACTGACCCCTTGACCACCTCGTAGTCTTCCGGCCCATCCCCTGAGCGCGATGTGACTGGTAAATCAGAACTCAATCTTACAAAGTGGATGCCAGTGAAAGAGCCATATGCTATCACCACAAACAGGTGTACAGAACTCATGTTGTTTCTAGGTCTACAGTTTCTGAACCACTCCCTATAAGTCCAAGGACCAAGTTAAACCTGGTCCTTTGCCTTATTGAGTACTGTTTTTTGCATGACTGGACCCAGTCAAACGAGGTCCTTGACCTGTAGGGACTGTTTCCTTACAAACAGCAACAGCTGAAATCCACCAGGTGGGCTAGAGTCTCATGACATGGATAACATGAATGCTATGAGTAAGGGCTGGATTTTCCGGTGACAACACTGCAAACACAGAGTTCATTGGACCAGCCAGAACATGGAACCATTCATCCGCGCAGCCATCAACGGATTCGCCTGTATCGACGATGTCTTGGAAGGTCACCTCCACCTGAGGTGTCTTTTTCCACGCGAAGTGATACGGTCAGCGGCGGGAACCGGTTGGACAGGGGATCCAGTTGGGGTCAGAGGTCGAAAATTTCCAGCCATGAAGCACTCCTCTTTGGAAACTCCAATAGAATCAGGACCAAGATAGATGGCAAAAAGGTTGACTGATGTTGACTTTGAACTTCATGTGGCTTCTGTCCTAATGCATTCAGATCTGACGACCCCACTGGAAGGGAAATAGACGAGTCGACCCAGGCAGAGCCATGGGGTCTACCGATTGAGATACACAATGACACACACTCTTGCTTGACAATGAGACTTGGTATGGAGACTGGCCACTCTTGTGTGACACTCTTGCTTGACCCATATCTTGAAATACATCTCAGGACATTCTCCCCCCAAAAAGATCATCGAATCTGTCAATTTGGATGTTTCTTGAACTGGGTGAAGAAAAATACCACACGACCTGCCCGGTCTCCGGGTGAAAATCTCATCACACGCTGAAAACCCCGTCTAACCCAACCCGCGCCCCACGCCCTGCTCAGAGCTCCATCCAGCGCCGGTCTGCCTTGGCACTATTGAGGTTTGGCATCGCGTTGGAGGAGTGAATCAGCTCGCTGACCTGGCGGGCTGATTAGAACGGCAGGACGGTCAGCGGGAATCCAAAGCTTTGCAGGATGTGGGCTTTGCACGTCCTTTGCGTGTGGTGAACCTCCAAAGGACCCGGAAACTCCAAAAATGCATCCATTTGCCAAACCCTTAGGCCCTAAGGACCCTTGGACTCTCCTTAGAAGGGGTCGAACCCTAACCCTCTAGTTCACAGGGTTTGGGGCCCCGAACCAAACCCTTGTTTTGTTTCGGGTGCGGATCCATTTGCCAAACATGCTAAAGCGAGGTTGTACCCCCGGCCACCCGACTCGAATGACGGGTAAGCTGAATGCAGGGATCAACCACCAGGAAGCTGGTGAGTAGGCTGGGAGGCTATTCATGGATCCAACCACCTCCCCAGCCTCACCCCCAAACAGTTCATTTGCGCGGATCAAAACTTGACGTGATCCATTGATGGTGTTAGAAAAGACTCGTCCTTCAAACACATCCCTTGGCTCAGGTTTCACACGTGGCTTATCTACTGCCAAAGACTATAAGGTCTTAGATTCTTTTGTTGGGGGGAGGGTTGTTGGAGTCCGGTGACGTTTGAGATGTTGGTCATCCACGAAAAAGGAGGCGCCCCCTTGTGGCCACCGGCGGCCACCGGCCTTGTTGAGTCTCATCTTCTTGGCACGCTTCCCGAAGACGAAGAGCAGGGCATCAATGGTGTTGGACCTCGGTCGAAGATGGGGCCAATGACACGGGCCATCAAACCATGACGTGCTGGGCGCAAAGCCCGGTGTATCTCAGCGGAATCCAGTCCCACTGTATCCCAGCATATCCCACTTACCACTATATAACGACTATAATCAACGGTATATGTATGTCACCCTTTTAGTCTATGGAACCTCTGAGTCACTGGTCACCTATGCTGGATCCACTGGGGAGTTACAGAACCAGGGTAGAACCTACGGGGCTTGCCCCCAAATCTGCCGATGGTCGGACGATGGTCCCTAGTTCCTGAGATCTGGTGCATTCCAAGATCTACAGCGGTTTCAGAGGTTCAAGGGCACAGTCCCTACAGGATGGTTTATAGTATGGTTTATAGTATAGACTCCCATCTAAACAACATTCAAGGGTTGGTACCGTAGTTGGTACCATCTACTATGAATCCACGATACTGGGAAAATTGACCAAGGCTATCAATTAACACGGAATACCCCTTATACCCGTTGAATAATGCCCAAAGGTCTAACCCAGGACTTTAGTTTATAAAATCCTTCGGGACTGAGGTCATTTCCTTATTTTTTAGTGGCCCAAGGTGCGATGCAAAAAAACTGATTGTTTTTTTGGCCTAATAAATTCCTAGGACCAACCTCTTTCTAAAGTCCTGAGACGGAGGTCGGGACATGTGAATAACACAAAATTATGATTCATACTGAAATGCTGTCATTGACCCTGGCTCATGAATTTATGCGCAAAAAGAGCTGTACTTTTTTCCTTTGCAGGATCTTTCGATCGTGTGTACTGAGGATATTGTCGAGTTTTTATGCGCTAATCGGTTATGCCTGGTGTACTTCCATTAAGGGAATAGACTTGCAGAGTTTGTGTGGCGTCTCAAGTCATCTATAAATTTTGGTGAATTGAAACACTCGTTTGTGTGGCGTATTAGTCATTTATAAATAGATTTTGTTGAATTGAAACACTCTGGTGTCTGTGGCATGCTGCAGCCCAACAAGGAACGACCGCGGAGTCTTCGGAACGACAGCGAAACACAAAACATAATATAATCCTGAGCTTGACCCTCAGAGACCTCCAAGTTAAAAAACAACATCCTTTTATAGAATCCTGCGTCTGACCTCACATGTAGTCTTTCAAGTCAGTCACATCATGATTTATCTAGCTTTACTGAAGTCCTGGACCAAGCATTTTTTGGAAATTCCAGATAAACCCTCATGGCTGTTATGAAGTCCTGGACGTACCCATTTTTCGGCAAACATTTTGTACTATTTAGGTGGGTTGGGGTCCTTGATTTTAGTATGGATTACCGGACGGGTATCCCCTTTTATATAAACAATCCTAAACCTCCAACCACATCCTTTGGTTGGGGTGCAATCAGGGGGGTTCTGTCCCTAGCTTCTGAAGGATGTTGGCAAGGACAGCGGACACCGTTTCTGAAGTCTCTCTTTGGGACGCTCCTACATACCTCTTCCGCGGCCCAAACACTTTACCACCTAAACCATCCTAAACCAACCCCCAACATTGTACCCTTCTGAACCATTGAAAGTCCAGCCCCTCCATCTCAACTCAACGGACATCTCGAAATGTTGAGGACTGCGGTACCCTCCACCTTCCATCTCAACTTCACTCGTTCCTCACGTAGGACCTGTGAGGGTTTCAAACCTCCCCCCCAAAACCCCCTTCATCTCCCCTCTGTACCTGGTCCTTTTTGGCGTTTGGACTCCACCAGTGGAGATCCCACCAAACCAGGCCAGCGATTTCCCAACGTGCTTAGGGTTGAAAGATGCTTGTTTCCAGGCGCCAAGCCACCCCACACTCTCCCAACCAAACTGTTTGGAGTGGTTTGAACCCTCATGATGTTGGTTTCCAACCCAGCCCAGTCCCTATGGACCCACTGCCACCCTCCTATCGAAGGTGAACTTTGATGTTGGCCTTCGTTGTGAGGGAAAAAGTCGTACGCACCTTCCTTCGAAGATGGCAGTGGATCCCTACCAGGACCCCCTGGTATAGGGTGGTTCATAGATACCTCTCAACTTGAACCTCTAAGGGGCGTGGACATCAGGAACCCCGTGGTATAGGGACGTTGATATCCCTTTTGACATCTCATCGACGTTCGTCGTTGATGGGACCGCCGACCACCGAAAACGCTCCGGTTCCATGGATGGCATGGCCCCTGAACCCTTCGGATGACCATTTTCTGGAAGACCCAAACAAATGGTGCCCCCATGTGCCATCCACGTCCGAGTTCCACGTACTTCCGAGTACTTCCGAGCTCCGGTGCGTTAACGCGGTTGGTCTTCGATCACCGGGTATCAAGGTCGACCGGTGACCAGCACCCATGAAAAAGAAAACTGAGGCGAGCTGGGGTGAGCGAGCTTCTGAGGTGAGCGAGCTTCTGAGGTGACTGAGAGGGTTGCAAGACCAGAAGCATCCCGCGATCAGCCAGGTCGATCGAGTCACCGCAGGCCCCGGTTCGGCTGCGAACAGAACGAAGGGAAAACATCCATCCATCAATCAATAGATCGAATGAAATCCAAATGCTCAATCACAACGACCCATCCAAACAATCATTGCAAACAATCAAATGTCCATAGCCACTTCCATAGCCATAGCCATAGATCCCATCCATCCCATCCCATTCCATCCCATCCCATTCCATCCCATCGCATCCCATCCCATCCTCCCTCCATCCCATCCATGAATCTGAGCTTGCCAGATTTAAACATTTACCAATCGTTGGGAACCAATCTGCCCAACACCTCAGCCTCCGACTTGCCACTGCCGTTGGGTCCCACAATGGATGAAAAGCCTCACTGCTTCGTCTCGGAACACAAACCGGTGGCCGAAACCGGGGGTCCACATGTCTGGATACGTGATACATCAAAAGAGTCAAGCAAATGGCGTTTGAAGTGGGAGAGCTTCATCTAGGAGTTCACTCATGGCCCAGCCGGCAAACCAGTGGGAAAGACACAGCCTGCAAAAGGCAGGCGAATGACGCACATACCACATACAACATACAGAATGTTCTACATTCTATTACATACATAGCCAGTACATGCAATCAAAGAATATAGACAATTATATATACCCTACGCACCCAAACCCTATAAATTTGTAGGGTTGATGGAAAAACCTAGGGTTTCTGAAGGAAACCCCAGGTTTTCCAAACCAATATTAAAATACGGGTATGTACGGGTTAAATATGGGTTTAGTACGGGTTAAATATGGGTTTAGCACGGTTTAGAAAGCAAGACCCGAGGCTTTAAGAACAAACCTGAGGTATTTTTGATTTCACAAGAATACCCGAGGTTCCGATTGAGACCCTACAAATTTATAGGGTTTGGTTGCGTAGGGTATATAAATAGACACACACCAGTCCGCAGGTTTGTCCAGGTCCTCGAATACCGTCATCGCTCGTGCTGCTTCGGTCTCAGCCGTTTTGGACGTGGCATCGGACTGGGCGTCGAGCTGCACATCGGACTGTGCCAATGGGACACCAAGTCGCAACCCAGAAGAACTCACCCCAAGAACTTGCTGTTCGTGCTGCCCAGAGAGTCGACATAGCCGGTGTTTTTGCGCTGAAGTGATGTTGGGTGGTCGGAGGGACGAGGTACAGTCAAATAGGAATGCGTATAAAGTTTACAATCGTTTACATGCTTTTGCCATCTTTTGCTGTTGGACAAGAACATGTTGGGTGAGATCAACGATATCAACGGGCAGAAGGAGTTCTTGACCGCCTTGAAGTCCTTCCTTTGCTCGGAAGTCGGCCAAGAGAGGTCAATGAAAAAGGGGCCCAGGGACCAATTAGCTTGTTTTACTCGAATTCTCGGCCATCTTATGGATAGTCCATTTTCAGGAGAGTGCGACAAGTCAGCTTGTATAGTCATCGCTCGCAGTGGACGGTCATTCGGCCGCGACGATGGCATGTCAGACTCTGGTCCGAATGGTATATAGATGCAGAACAATCTTAAGTTAAGTGAGGCTTTGGTCCCAAGGAGTGGCGGACTCATTATGCAATCTACTCTCTACACCAAAGGCCGGGTCCGAGGCAAGCGCCGTGGCCCGGCAGAGCAGGGGAACTCCCACCCGCTGGCGCCGCTTGCGCTTGACCAAACAAGCGGAACACGGCTGACAGTCGGGTTGAGTGGAGACAAATAAATCTTATATGTGTTTTGTTGTAGTTTCGAGTCGTCTAACATGGAAGTGGATGGCATGGCCGCTCATGTGACTCTTCCCTCTACAAACAGCTGGTTTTCGACTTCCATGTGAGTGAGTTGGGTATGTGAATGGCCATGCGGCAGCTTTGTTGCGGCTATCTTGCACATACTAACTTTTGCTCATCTCGTCCGCATCTGCGCTGCACTGAATGTTTACACAAGTGGCATTATCACAAGTCCAAAGAACATGGAGTTCCCGCTTAAAACGCTGTGGCCTTGGGCCAAGGGAGCAGAACAGTGCCATTCACACTCCAAGAGCTCAGTCAAGACCCCAGCACTCGCGGAAACGTCATGAAAACACTAGACTATAAACACTCCTTGCTTCTAAAAACGACAGTCACTGTCTAGCTGCGAAGGGGTGCAACCATCGACTGCACATGAAGTGTTAGCGCCATCCGGTGGTGACTGCTCCTTTCTTCCTGTCACAAAGTGATGCCATGACTCTGACGTTCCGCCACGATTGCCAACGATCGAACATACATGATCTCAGACGATCTATCCTGGAACCACTTCGCATAGCCAATCCATGGGAGATACCCAGGTGCTATGTGCGTGCCTATGGCGTGTCTCTCGCCTCAAGGGCCACCACTCCTTTTCTTCCTTGACTCGCCCTTGGGAGGTCCAAACTCTCTCCAGACATGTTGTTTTGCCACACGGCAGGTGGACTCTTCAGGCCCTATAGTGGCAATGGTTTGGTCACATGAGGAATCACATACTCTTACAGAGGCCTCCCTAAGGATGTCTAACTCGGGCGCCCCTTATGTATATATAGAGGTTCAGGTATCAATTACAGTAGCCACCCCAAACAGGGGGGTCCATCCGACACCCTCCTCAGATCCATTCATAGGGCTCGGACTGACTCCAATCGAAATGGCTCGAGACTTCGGGCGGATCCGCCGTGAAATGGACTGAAAGTGGTCGAATGGCACGGAATCATGGAACTGCAGATTCGGAACATAGATCATCTCCATGTTCTACTCCATGTTATTCATAATACAATATTAGATATATATATATATATATATATCCATGTTGGCCATGGAGCCCTTTGCGTTCATCCATTGAAATGCATCTATCTAGTCCCATCTGCCTTTGGAACCACTGCAAAAGGAAGCAAAACGAACCTTGAACCGACATTGAACTCGGGTACCTTGGAGTCTCTCCAACCGGAAGGACGGAGGCGAACCACGAAGACATGTTTCAATCAAGCCGGATGGTCAAGTGCTGATCCACCAGGGCCCCAAGCTTTCAACGACCACTAGATTCTGTCAGTGTCTTGAACCATAGGGCCATGGGCCATAGCGTGAAATGGGGTGAAATCATGCTCTCTGAAACGAAATCGGGCAAACTTCATTAAACATCATCCAATCAGCTGACCCCATCTGACCCCTACTTCTTCGTTGACTCTGTCACCATTCCGTGGTTGGGATTACCAGCAGAATGGTGACGGTTCCTCGGTGGCAACACGAATCAGAGCTGGCGAAAATCGATGGAATGAATTTATTGCTACTGGATTAGCACAGTAGTTTCTGGGGCGCACCGGAGTTTCCAGCTGGCCCCAGTAAACAGCAAATGCGTAAGAAGGACCAAAGATTTCTCTGGTGAAAATACAAAAGCATCTACTTCCACAAGGACTAACGTCATGAAGCCTGCACCTTGGAAAATGAATGGGTCTCCAAGCTCGTCATCTCATCTTGCCATCTCATCTCTGACTCAGATCTCAAAGCTTTACCACAATGCATTCACATTGGCGGACCGTGTTGACTGCGTCCGCACTTGTACCCTGGTCGCTGCCAGCCGCTGCTTCCATGCTCGACTCGCGAGCATGGTGGATGAATTCCTCGAAGCTGGAAGGAGCGCCATGAACCTGAGTAAAACAGGAAGTGGCTCGCAAAAAAGGGGGAACTCACTGAAAAACTATATATGTGGTTTTCATTTGGTCAGTCAGTATTATGAACATCCACGATTTGCTGTTTGCGGAACTTGTTTCTGCTCATCCTCGATCACGGCGCAGCTCAAAGAACGCTTAAAAAACAAAATATAGGAGCCACAAACTAACAGGCTGGCTTTTCCATCAAGATCATCAAGGGTTAGAGGATCACACTCACAGGACTCTGGGAGTGTGAGTCTTCCAAACAAGGTAGCGTGGAGTCCGCCGAGGATAGCTGCCAGGAGGATCCAAACACCTTCTGAGAAGGCACTTGGAGTCCTAGGGTTCCAAAAATGGATCTGGATTGAAGCGAAAAAGTCCATCATACCGTACCCTCAAACGACCTCCACTGAGAAGATGTGGCCAAAGGAGTGAGTCGCTTGGGGGGTCGGTCCAAACCGGAAGAAACTTGATCGACCGAGGTGTAGATGACACGGTGCTCCAATCTTAGACTTCTGCAACTCATGAAACACTTAAGGGACATATACCCTAGGGCTCCTGGCCCACCTCCTGAGAAGATGGTTGGGGTGGATGCCAGGGGGGTCTAACCACCGAACCTGAGGAGATGGTTGGAGCCCTAGGGATATACAACAGTTTATGATGTATATGTTACACGAATCTGTTACCTGCACACCGTCCATTGAGCCTGGCAACTGCTTCCAGAAAGAACTGGAAACTCTTCTGGTGTTGCATTGACGACTGTCGACTACGAGGATATCTGCTGGATTTCAGCAAGATCCTGGGAAATCTGAATCGGAAAGCTGAATCTGACACACATGAATGTCATAATGAGTCCAAAGGAATACCACCATATACTCCAAAACAAACTTTGACTCCTCTACCAAGGCCTTCTTCCCAGCTTCGATTCTTGTTTGAAGCTTCAACTAGCATGTATAAACTGTAGAGATGACCCATACTAGCTTGTATGTTGAGGGTCTTCCAGTACTTTACTAATCAAACAAAAACCACAAATAATCGCCTTTAACATTGACATCAAACACCTGTTTACATCAGGTCAAGCTAAATGTATGCACATTGAATCGAACCTGATGACATGATTGACAAAACATATTATATATATATATATACACATATAACTGCTTATATAGAGGACAGCAAACACATCTGACTGCCAGCTGGGTTCAACAACAACAACAACAGCAGCAGCAGCAGCAACAGCAACAGGCTGCCAAGAGTCTGCCACTTCGAAAAAGAGTTAGACTTGAGCTTCATCATTGGCTCGCAGGGCTGTCGTGCTGTCCGTGTGGGCCGAAAAACGGCTGCGGATGGCGCGAGGTTTGGTCTCTTAGATTGAACCATAAAGCGGGGACAACGACAAACTCCGATGCTGGTCTGATTCTCCCTCCCTATGCCTCCGTTGATATAGCCTATTGTTCCAACACGACCAAACCCATTGTTTTATGCAAAAAAGAAACACGTTCACCTACACATCAATCTTGTTGAATCCTCATTGCTGAACATGTTGAATGTTGAGTGCACATTCTCTAAACTTGATCCATCACCCTTCAACCCTCAGTAAAGAATCACAACCCGGCCAAAGCAAAACCGAAAAAGGCTGGGCCAAGACAGCAACTTGGACTCCAACTTTTCACCGGACCGGCTCGGGCTTCGGCTCCGTCGATCATGGGTTCGGTAGGTGGCTCCGGTCCAAACGGATGGCAGGGGATTCCGTAAACCCATCGATCAACCACGGTGGTTCCCCCAAAGTCCCATTTCAGCTTCGGCTGAACCAAAACCCCGGGGCGACGGTCGCTCTTTCGACCCGTGGAGCCCCGGCTCTTGTGAAAGGGGCCAATGACCTGCCGGGATGGGCGGAGGTTTCGCGAATGAGGTGGGAGGTAGAAGCGCAATGAAGTGAAAGAAAAACCGATCAGAACAGATCTTTATTATGGATCCACATACCTTTTCAGAAAATGATTGGAGAGTATTTCAGTAGGCGCCAGGAGGGCCCAAATACCTTCTGAGAAGGTATGTGGATCCACAAGGTCTGTGAAGACTTTTGTACTATCGCTCTTTTTAAATGGATATCGAGGCTCTCTTCTCTGGTAGGGCCTGGGAGTGGGGTTGTTATGTGCCCTTGATTGATTGTGCAGCATTTGCGGATCTTATCTATAGATGATGTTTGGCAGTTGGCCCTCCAACATGTGTCCAACCTTCCCTACGCAACCAAACCCTATAAATTTGTAGGGTCTTAATCGGAACCTCGGGTATTCTTGTGAAATCAAAAATACCTCAGGTTTGCTCTTACAACCTCGGGTATTGTTTTTCTAAACCGTGCTAAACCCATATTTAACCCGTACTAAACCCATATTTAACCCGTACATACCCGTACTAAACCCGTATTTTAGTACTGGTTTGGAAAACCTGGGGTTTCCTTCAGAAACCCTAGGTTTTTCCATCGACCCTATAAATTTGTAGGGTTTGGGTGCGTAGGGTTCTTGACGTTGTAGATTCTTAGATGCCTTTTTAGATGACTTGAGCCATTCCTGCATGTGTCTTCTGAGTCCCCCTCAGGTGCAAAATCCAATCCGAAAGTCAGCTCATGGCTGATGCACTGATGCTCACTACACTCCGCGGGTTCAAATGAACCGATTCCAAGCCCCGGTGGTGGGGGGTCACCCTTGTTGAAATACACCTATATAGGTATTAAATTTATAATATGTGTTTATAGATGTGTGGAGCGTGGCTCTGTTGTTTTCATGGGTGGTCATTAAGCCATTGGCGGCGGTCACCAAAGAACCGACCGGTTGAGCTGGCGTAGCGACTGGTCGGGTTGACTGGTCGAGTGAACATGGTGGGTCACGACTCATCCCCTGTCAAAAGGGATCTCAACCATTGGGTTTTGGTCTATGTTCCTTCTTCCAGGTGGTCTTTGGGAGGTCCTATTTTAATATACACCCATCTCAACTTACCATCTCTACAGGGATCCACTGCCACCTTCGAGACAAAGGTACGGCTTTCTTCCCACACAACGAAGGCCGACATCATACTGTGCGTGGTTCACACATCACCTTCGATAGGAGGGTGGCAGTGAGTCGTATAGGGACTGGGATTGAAACCAACATGATGAGGGCTCAAACTGTTCCAAACAGTTTGGGGTGAGAGTGTGTGGGGTGGGCGCCTGGAAACAAGGATCTTTCAACCCTAGGCCCAGCAGGCACTACTCCACTACTACATGGGGATAATCAACGGAAAAATAAGTTTGGTATGCACCGGCTCCCGCCAGTAAATGGGTTCGACAAAGAAGGAAAACTTGAAGGAACAACGAACATATGCAACCTCCGGCACACCACCCACCATAACGTGTACAACGAAAGACCCCACCTTCACTCCACCATAGGACTTGAAGTTTTCCAGGACAATCTGTCGGATCATCAGCCGGGCTTTTGGCGCTTCTTCCTTTGGCACATCCTCCTTAGGGACCTCCTCTGCCTGGCTGGGCCAACAGTGGGGGTCACGTTGTTCAAGCAAAGTATATATATAATGTCTGTGATGGACACACCAAACATCGCACAAACCAACCAACCAGACCAACGCTCAACAATGTTGAAGAACTATGGGTGCTTAGGAGTGCTAAGTCAAACATTATCACTTGATCACAAATACCTGCCCCCCTCCACAGGACAGAACTGTATGTGAATACGTTCATGGGTTTCTATTTGCAGGTGGAAATCCATGAAATAGCCCTGTAAATATGCACAAAGAACAAAACACACCATAGCTTCAGTACTGTACAGTTGTGCACTGCACTGATTTCCTGAGATGTGAACATGTGGCTAGATGAACAAACTTGGGCTTGGTTGCATCCATCAGTTCCCGTTAAATCATTACATTCTCACCCATGTGGAAGCCTAACCCCTTAGTTGGAGGAGTGTTGTAATAGGGTCCTGGGCGGGGAGGTCTTGATCGACAACCCCCCTGCCAAGCCCGCGCGCCAGGTCGGTCAGATTCCGGGAAGGCAAAGACCAGCTGTTCCCAGGAACACAAAACCACAAAGCCTTGAATATGTATTAGATCTTTTCTTTCGCGAATACTGAGCCCCCACCCAGATCGAGCTGCTCCTACTATGCATCTACGTTGGATGTATTAGATCATGTTTTAAAGAAGCATACAAAGACCAGCTTGCAAATGGGGACACTGTCATTCCCAAGCCCAAGCCTAATTATAGTAAGATTCGATGGTCTAGCTTCAACATGGTCGAGGTACACTCCAGGCGAGTATCCCACCCACGACCCGCTGAGGTCTGGTATGCGATTTGGCAACGCGTGGATGTGTGGTGAAAAGAAACCAAATCTACAATCTACAAACCAAATCTACAATCTACAATCTAACTGAGAGTCAAGTCACAATGTGAGACGCATTCCCATAGTAATTATATATTATCCTGGATATCGAAGAAAAAACAAAAAACTTTTGCTCGGTGGCTCGCAGATGCTCGCAGCACCTTCTCTTCAGCTGGCTGTTCTTCAACATCCTGCGGTCGCACCGGGCGTCTTGCTCAGCTCTTCTTGAGCCAGGCCGTGAGGCCGGAATTTAGCGCGTTCCCACACGAAGCTCGAAGGATGAAGATCATGAGTCATGAAAAACCCATGGAAACATATGGAAACCAATCGCCCCTAAACAGGTTCTATCATTCTTCCAAGGGCTCACTTTCCACTTCCATGTGATGTGTTCGTCGGAGTGTACCTACATTGGGGTGGTCTCAGGGCTCAATGTATATACCATCTATATGGAGTGTCTGGGACCTTTTTATGCTTAGTTGAACCATGTTGAACGCAAAACGGCACTAGCAACAGCGTGTCCAAGTCCCACACCTTTTCTTGTGGCGCCATGCTTACGTGTCGTCACCACTGAAAAAACTCTGTAAAAACCTTCAGCAACCTCAGATCTTCGCTCCGCGACCTGTTTTGGTATTCTGAGACAAGAAGGAAACCGAATGAGAAGGGAAACGACCATCTGATGTCATCTCTTGGAGATGTGTAGATATTATGATTTTACTCAAAGTGAACTAAGACATTACAATGTACAACTGTCTGCAAACCTATGTTGATATTATTGATATGATCAAGAAACATTCGTGTCTGCCAGTTAACAGTCCGACCTTAGTACGGACTTGCGTGACTTGCAGCTAAGTGACATCTAAATGTTCATTTTTTTCTGGCAAAAATAAACCCTTGGACACCAGAGAAAAATCAACACCTTGCAAAGCCTAATCTCATTACGAAACATTGCAAGCATCCAAGCACCACCCCCCGACAAATCTGGTCATCTCCGAATCCTCGTCCTTGGAATCTTCGTCTGCCTCGTTCTCAGGCTTAGCCTTCATCAGATCCAAATGGATTCACAATGACCAACTACAGCTGTTCTACAAAGCCAAAATGGCTCTGGAAACCAAGACGGCAAACGTTTCACGCCCGCAGAGTGCCAACTCCAAAACAGTTTTGGAAGAGGTTCCTGACTTCGGTGGTCCCGTTGAAGTTTGCCTAGTAGTTGAAGAGAACACCAGTGGTGTCTTCATGTTTTTAGGTCAGTGGTGTGTTTGAAGAGAACACCCCCTAAAAGTTTGACAACCCCTCCAAGGTTTTGCCCTCTGAATCAGCTGTACTGTACAGATGTTGCCAGAGAATGACAGCTTGCTCCATACGCAGGAGTCCTTGGGATTTCTGTTGTAGCCACAAGTTCAAACCAGTCACTAAAAAAAATCTAAAAAATAGAATCATAATGAAAGAATAGGTGGGTTCTGGACCTTACCATAGGTAAGTAAACAAATTGTAAGTATAAACCATAGGCACCTCTGAAGATTCTCTTTGTTTCACCAGCATTTGTCGGAGTTCTGGTAATTGCAGCATATGGCTGTGAGTCATGGCACCTTCCTCCACCAAACCATGGGTTCAGTTGATATATCCCTATAGAGAGGCGCATCCGTTCATGTTCGGTACGAAAAAAACAGTGTACCCCGTAATAGACCCACGGCGCCGCTTCTTGCGCCCACCAAACCAAGGTCGTCTCCGGCTCGTCCCAGGTCGGTCGTGCGTCTCTGGTCTCATCACCCACTGAACATTGAGATCGCAAGATGACCATGGAAACTACATCCCGAGCAGCACCGGGTAGTCAAGCAAGAGGTATCTGATATCTGTCATGCAAATGGAGGAATATGTATTATTATATATTTAGGTGGTTCTGCGGGGCGCTATCTCTAAATGCCTGGAAAAGAATCCAGCCAAACTCTTTGAGGCCCAATCGAAGGAATTCTTGCTGGAAAAGGACCAAAGGATCAGGCCACATCAAGCACTATGGATCATTCCACAGCATTTCTCACGTCCTCACTCTCCACTCCATCTCCAGCACCCGAAAAAGCACACGCCATCAAAACGGTCATCGTTCAGTGGCCGGAGACCGCCTGGGGCCTGGGTGCGAGTTTTTGAGATTCTCCAGCACCTGGCTGAGCTGCGAAGAGGCCTGACGGACCTTCGGAGGAAAGAGAGGTTCATCCTGTTGGAGGGATGGAAAGTTCGTGAAAAACGGATGAAACTTTTGAGCATGACTATCTTAGGTATGGTCAAAACATGTGGGGACCACCCCGGCAAAAAATGCAAAAGAACACAATGACAATATCACCGAATGCTTGAGTGTGTGTCAATGATGCACAGAATGAGCTACGACTCATAGCATGTTGAGACCAATGGACCGAGGTTGCTCACCTTCCAAACCAGGGAAGGAATTCGTTCCGTCCACTGCGTGTCAGGGAAGCGACCGAAGTGCCTTGGATCTAAGAAGCCTCATGTTGGTACACTGCAAGGAACCAAACTTGACTTGGAGGTGTGAGGGAAAAGATCAAAGATATTTGGTCATGAACACCCGACCAGTACTTTTTGTTCTGTGATTCTAGTATATCCTTGTCCCACAGCACAGCGTGGTGATTTGAACAATCCCAGGCCGCCTCCCGCCCCCCCCAAAAAAAAACTATCTTAATTATAGTGTGTATGATACAAGTATAAGTAAATTGGGATAGCCCAAGTCACGACCGGTCTTAGTATCTTTGCTACAACATGCGTACAATATCATTACAGAAGTACCATCTCTTGAGACTAGACCTTCTCCTCCGTTTCAAGCTGCCAACCCGGCCTCGGAGCGCCACAGCTGCTCCGGAATCTGCGTGTTGTTGGGCAAGGCACTCTTTGCCAACATCACCTTAGAGCCCAATCCAACACAGCCGTGCACCCGAGCGAAGAAGAGCGCTGCGCAGAGCTGCGCTCGGCAGCCGCGAGTTCGCGCGCGCGGACCGGAGTGGCTCTGTTTTGTCAATGGGCACTTAGCTGTCCTACCCCACTGAGCCTCTGTCCTACAGGGCATACATGTACATCTTCGACTCGAATTACACTCCAACTTACTAACATGGAAGTGGGAAACGGCTTCGCGGGAGTCTATGTTTCTCTACGAACTGGTGGTAAGGAGTCGAGTCTGTGCCTCTTGGAATACCTTGGCTGGAAATAGGTCACTGGCTGAGTCTTACGACAGCAAACTGCACCAACGGCCAGCATAGCATGTCTTTGCGCCATCTGGGCACATGGAATTAGCAAAACAAACTGCAAGAAAGCATGTTGACATAACGTTGACATGTTGATCGTTGATTAATAAACACCCCTGATCTGGAGATATATATACAACCATTCTCTGGGCACCAAAGTCATCGTCCCCATCCCCTAAAATGGTTGTTTCTTTTTGCTTGTTCACCGTTACCAGGCATCCTTCAGCACCCTCTCGACTCAATGCCGTGAAAACGGTCTGCGCATCACCCTTCGGCCCTGTGAACATCACTGACACTCGCGCCTCGCGCTGCTGCCGTGTGGCGCTGAGTTGATGCGCCTCAGCTTGCGCCTTCCAATCGTCCATCTCTTGCTTCTGCCGGTGCCTCGAGCGAAGTACGAAGAACCCGGTTCCTCGGACGACACGTGATGCATCGCTTGGAATCCACGTGATGCCGTTGCGCGTCGTGGGTTGCGGCTTCAAAGATGTTCAACGGCTGGGGACCTTTGTATATCTACAATTGTCGTAGAATGTCCCAATTGTCAATCCAGAATGGGACTTCCTATATAAAGTCCTAATGTCTACAGTTGTATATACCTCCTCCAGAATGTAGTCCCAATTGTCAATCGATCGCCGCTGTTGCCGATGTTAGTCGCCGTCCGAGGCATTTGTCACAAGCCAGACTTAAGCCATCTCCATGTGATCTCGTGCGATCTCCAGTGATCGCCGATCAAAGCCACATGGCCAAAAATCTGAGGCTTGAACGAGCCAAGAACGTTAAAGCGTTAAAGCATGTTAAAGCTCTACATGTGTTACGGCTTTGGACATCAGAATGCCAAGGAAAAACATCTGGTTCCAATCCATCCGGCAATAGCTTCCTTGACCCAAGCACTGCAAATCAAGGGGCCTGCATTTGGGGTGGCAAATAATGGATGTAGGATGATGTAGGTCAGTGTCGCCATCACCCTTCATTGAGCCTTTTGGAGTATGTTCTGTGCCCACCTTATCACACCCAATTTAGACCTTTCAGAAACATCATGATCCATATTCCACGTACATAGGTTCTTTTCATGTCTTTTGTCCACCCCCAGCTTATCCATCCTCCGCTTCCTTTAAAAATTCACGCCGCCCGCCTGGCGATCTCACTGCACGTCTTCAACTTCACCATCTCCGCCGAGCACTGCAGGTGATCCTCGACAACGCCGCGTGCCGGTGCGGTGACCCCGTTTGGGACCGGTGGACAGCGGTGGAGACCGGCGTCCCCGAGGTCAGTGGCTCTCACCTCTGAAAGCACCTGTGGTGGATGCCTATGCCAGGCCCTTTGGATCTGAGGTTTGAGGTGTTGGTGATGTGTTGGTGTTCCAACATGTTGATGTAGGCGTCCGAAGGTTGGAAAAAAAAAGCAAGTCGTATACCGAAGGACTGAGAAGGTGGTGATTTAGATCCCTAGCCAGTATATAAACCGATTTGAAGATTGAGATGTGATTCAGTATCAGTGTTGCATCACTGAATGTTTACGAAGTATAGAATGGTGCCAGGCCGCTTTAGTATCTTAAGTGAGCTGTGCTCAAAACGTGTGGCATCTGCCTATGTCGTAAGACTTTCCTTACGCAGCAGCTTACGCCTGGCTTACGCCACCACAATGGCAGCTTACGCGCACACTTTGCACACAAAGGGGCTTACGCAACACTTACGCGAACACAATCTTGCACCCGGCCACAGCGCCAGCTTACGCGCCATCTGTTTTCCAAGCAAAGCACAGCAAACAACAGGTTTGTTACGTCCGCGGGTGTAGGGCAGTGAGAAGCCAGGATTTCGTAGATGGTCTGGACAATGCGTTGCCTTTGGCGCCATTGCGAGTCAGAAAAAGCCTGCTTTTTAGGAGGCATCGTGGGCCACCGTCTACAAAAGAGAGGGGGGCTTACGCGCAGCTTACGCGAAGCTTACGCGCGCCTTACGCGTATTACCGACACCAAAACCGATAACTGCATGGTGACATAGTGTGTCTGACAACTGCTGGTAGACTTTATGACTACGGGAGTTGTTTGTATGGCTATAGGAGCAATGTTTGCATGTGTCGACCCATAAAATCTCTGTCCTGATGCCTATGTCCTGTATATAAATGACTACAGGAACCCCAAGAACCCTTCTTTCTGTGGAGCCAATCACCTTCGACCATACCAATTGCCAAGAAAAAGATCCAATGCAAGGCTTCATCAACAAAGATCTCCTATAATTTCCAAACATTTCAAGAATACATGTGACATGTATGTTAAATTTCGACTTGCTTACGCGGCTTACGCAAGTTTCATCTCACAAAAAACGCTTACGCAACCTTACGCACATCAGAGTTTTGCTTACGCGAAGGATTCATATGACAAGCCCACTACTAAACATGAACAGGGAGGTTCTTAGCGCGGCTCAAGTGGTTCTAGTAGCCTATACCAGTGTTCCAACGCACTGGTAAAACTGGTGGATTGTGATCGAGTCACATCAATAACCTACTCGAGCGAGGACGTGCAGTTCAGTCACTCTACTCGAAGGGAACAGCATGTTCTTCCGGTTCAGGTCCTATGATGTTCCATGTCCTTTCTGGGATGCGTCTTTTCTCAAAAACGGAACATGACCCCAAATCCCCACCATTCCACAATCCAACACACACTAGACACTGTCACTGTCACTCACAACTCTTTTTTTTATCCCACCAATCAAAGTTACCCCATGTTTCAGGTTTCTGATCAAGATGCAGGAAACTAGTCCATGCATAGATCAACTATGATCAACTGGTTTCACTTTGTCACTTTTCTGTTTGTTGTTTGGCTTTGCTATACTTTGCTTCTTTGATGCTCCTGCCATGTTCCAGGGTCCATACAACATTTAACAGCAAAAGGCTTAACTGCACAGCCAGCACCAATGCACAGCATCTTGAAGGCCGCCTCTTTTTTTTGCAAAAACGGACTCTCTCAGCTTTCCCTTGGAACAGAAAGGTTAGGCCACCAAACTTTCCACCTGTTCCCATCTCTCAAGCCAGGTTTGTGTACTGGCCGCTGGAAAAGCTGCCGCTGGATCAACCGAACCATCCACCGAACTCATGTCTGGGTGTCCCATGGTTCCCCAGGTCACCCAGATCCAAAGCTCGGCCCTCGGTCTCACTGGATCCGGTGACCTCCATCCGGCGGCTGATGTACTGCGGGGGCGGCAAGTGCTCGTGAAGAGGACCCAGGAGCTGGCGACAAGCCAGTACAACCTCATGGGAGGCGGCTGATGTACTGCGCATGGCACAGAGGACCTTGAGGTTCTCAAGTTGATCCCACTGCCATGGCAGTGCTGCGTAAAGAGGAGCATGTATAAAGAAGATTAAAGAACCACCGTTCCAGGATTAATTGGAGCGGCAAAGGATTCGGATGGTTTTGGTCTGGTCGGCAAAGAGAGACGCATGAGTCATCTGTTCTGCATGCTTCCAGCTTTTATGCTTGGAGATCAGTATATATTTTCAGGACAGTATGCTTCTGGCAACCTACAAAATACCGAATCAGCTTGCCGAACCCATCAATTGGGACCTACTCACAGAAGCACTAAGGATTCGATGGTTTTGGGCCTTTTAGAGCCGAGAGAAGCATGGGTGGTGACTGAAAGCTGGAAAAATTATAGTGAAAGATCTTGAACGGCCGAAATCCACAGAACAAGCAGGTAAGGAAAACATGAAACAACAAAAATACCACACCATGTTGACTTGGAGTGTCTTAAATTTGATCTCATCCAATCTACAGTATTCACATCTGGGATTGTCCGGGAATCTGCGGAATCCTCTTACTACGCTAGCTGCCACAACTCTCCCACCCATCAAGCACTTGTGCGAGACCGCAAAAATGCCGAGCAGGTGGCGCTGTTGGCAGCTGACAGGCGTGACCTTTGAGGAGGATCCAAGCCGATCCACGCGGGAAGTAAGATGAAAGCTGGCCACCGATCCAAGGTCTCAGATTCTTCTGAAACAAGGACGTCCCGTCCAAAAGATGAGGACTAGGACTAGCGTATGAATGTTTTCTCTCAGCATGGCATGGCCGATCGTCTGGGACAATCGCACTACCGCAACAACTCCATGGAGACTGGAAAATACCCTTGGGCTCCTGGCCTACCTCCTGAGAAGATGGTTGGGGGTGGAGCTTTGGGGGTCTAACCACCGAACCTGAGGATATGGTTGGAGCCCTTGGGATAGATGACACCCCATTGACCTCATGTCAAACACGGTCTGATCGGGCTAGATCGACCCCGTCTCTGTTCACCTGGGTGGCAAAATGGGCGTCTCTCAGCTAGACGGGTGGTGAAGCAGAAGAAACACATCGCAGCAGAGTGTGGACTGCCAGCGGCTAAGTGCTAAGTTCAAGGATAAACCTAGTGGCTTACCTTTTACCTATCTATTATCTATCTAAAATGATCTATCCAACTATCTATCATTATCTATCTATATCAATATCTACCTGGACCCTCCAAGGGGTGTCCAATGGACTACCCCACACTACCTATAGGCTTCCATTGGGCACCCCTTGGAGGGTCCTGGTATATGCAATAGTTATCTAACCTGCTACCCCGCGGGTAGAACCTGATTCAAGCACTTGCTCCTGGGGCCGAGAAACGATTGGGAGCGCACCTCAGAGCCGCCACAGCGAAAAGAGACCTGCGCCGAGGCGAGCGCTCGGCTGCGCGGTCAGCCACGAAGCCGTGCCACGAAGCGGTGCTTTCGAATAGATATCCATATATCATATATGTATTTAGATTGGGAGGCGAATAGGCTGGTGATGGCTGGTGCTCGCGAATCCTTCTGCGTCCACGTGCCGCCCCTTTTCAAGAAATCCAAAGGAGACATGGTTTCGGTCAAAAGAACAAGAACACAATCGGTTTGCTGCCACAATCCAAACAGAATCTGTTTCCAAGTCACGCGTGGGGTCGCAACGAGAGGCTCCCAACCGCATACAGTAATATTGATATGGTTCCGTTGCTCGGTGCTCCTGGAGAAATAACTCATCCACATCAAACCCCAACCTTTTATTGACCAAAGCAGCAAGTACAGCAACTCGCAACATAGCACTTTAGCAGCTTTTAAATGCTTTTAACGAGACACTCCTGAATCTGTAACGGGCCATTCATAGACACCCCTTTGAGGAGGTCTGGTTCTGCCACGTGTCACAAGGTACTGTGCATGTAATTTAAGTGTGCACACTCCAAGTAACATGATAGTGGAAAACCATGGAAAACAACGATGTTTGTACCAGGAGTCACAAAGGGGTGGTGTTTAAGCACCCTGTCTTGTGACTGCTGGTAGAGGAACATCGTTCTCGACCGGGCCGTTGCTTCACCTTCCATGATTCTTCCATCGGAGAGGGAAGAAGGCGTGCGCTTTCCATGGGCACCCACTCCCTGGTCTTGCCGTGATCGGATCGGCGATAGAGTTGGCATGGCGCTTAAGACATGTCTCACCGACCAGGTGCGATTCGTCCGGAGACCAGCGGACGATTCGTCAGGCGCAGAGGTGAGGCCGGAGGCCGCGACGCTTAGCGCTTAGCGCGACGCCGCTGAACGCAACGACGGAAGGCCCACGAATCGGCCCAACGCCCAGCTCCAGTGGGCCCAATGCTCCGGTGGGCCCAAGGCCCATTGGAGCTCAGGCCTTCTGCTGGCTGCTCTGGTCGTTGAAATCTGGCGCGGCGATTGGGGTCAATTCCCCTTTTTCAGGTCATTCTGTTCATGGCCTCGGGTGGGAGTATAAGACCCCCTTTGTCAGGATGGTTAGTAGATGTGAATAGATACCCCATGATACCCCTGTGAGGAGCACCCTGTGACAAAGTCACTGTTTCAGAAGGATTTCCTTTTGTTCATTTCTTTTCTACTGACGGCCAAGCCTTTGAGGTCACCGCGGACAGTCGTGCACTAGACGAGAGCCGTGTGGAATTGCTTTAACTTACATTTAAAAAAGAAAACATTAATCTATAATTAGACTTGTATTTAACAAAAACAACGCATAAAACAACATAAAAAGGGCTCTTGAGGATTCTCGAGGGCCAGAAAGTGGTGTGGTTTGTGGGCAAAGAGCTGCATCCTGTTGTCACTGGTGTCCTTACTTTCAGCACAGGTGAGAGAGGAGTCCTCGAATTCCAACACCCGGATCCAAGCGCACTGCGTAGGTCACCCACCGCTGGCCAAACGTGCAAAAATCGGAGGACATCGGACCATCCGCCTGTGTGGGACAATGATGGCTGACCCAAGTTGAGGTACCAGCCATAGGAATCGCCTCCAACGTACTAGCGATGGCCTCCAAGCTAATGATAAGACCTAATGATAAGATATGATAAGGTACCCTTTATGCAACCCCTTTGGGAGGAGAAAACAGGTACCACAAAGCAACAGTTCCATGGTTCCACAAAGCAGTGATTTTCAGGACATGGAAGTGGATGATTGTCGAGTCCACAGGGCCCCTACTATCGAGGGTAGGCACAAAAAAGTCCAGTCGTTCCTTCTGAGAAGGTGGCAGTGGATCCCTACAAAGTCCTTTTTCGGTGAGGGCCACTGTATATACAGTGCAGCATCCTCTAATTTTTGGGTATTGTTTTCTAACAGGCTGTCCATCATCCTCATCGAGGTGAAATCCTTAGGCATACACCGCAGTCGCTCGCATGAACCGCCCCATCCGTGTGAACCGCCCACCATCTCTCTCTCCACGACGCGTTCTCCGCCCGATGCACAGCCTGCCGACTCCGCCTCTTTCACCTCTAAGCCCGGACGGGTCACCGTCCGTGTGGCTTCGCGTCGCGCGTCGTGGAGCGCGGTGAACTCACGACGTCGTAGCACCGGTTACAACGCCCGTGTTCGGGTGGACGACGAGTTCGGGAGTGTGGGCGGAGTTTGGAAGAAGAGCCGCCCCTGGTGAAGCTCTGGCAATGACCAGTGAAGAACATTTGGTGAAACCTGTGGCAAGACATGCAAAGGAGATGTTGTTGATATGCACACCAAAGAAATCAGCCAAAAGGTTGATGAAACACTGATAAAACATGAAGCAGTTTGTTAACTCTTTCCTCTGTATGGCCCCCAGCACCCTTTATCCAAACTGAACCTTTCACGGTTGGACCTACCATCGGACCGAAGCTGTTCGAAAGTCGAGGCCAGGATCAAAAGTGACATATGGCACTTTTTTGGCCCGACAGCTCCGAAAAGCAGGTTTCTTGACCTATGCCTATGATGCCTATGGCATGTTTGTTTGCATACAAAGGTTGCTCCAGGTTCTTGGTATACAGCTAGCTCCCTGTTGAATGGCACACCAGCATGATTCTGCTTGTTGGTTTTAACCCAGACTATATATCCATGTATGGCATATTAACCTGCCTTGGGCTGGTTGAAAAAGGGTGAATGTAGGTAAATATGCCAGTCCCATGGAGTGTCTGGGATTCTTAAGGCAATGTTTCGACTCTTAGGCTTGCACCTAACACCCTGGCCCAGTTCTCACCACACCATAGGGATATTGGGGGCAGCAGGTAATTGGCACATGCACTTCAGTTGTTTGTTCGTTTGGATTTGTTGTTGTGAACTTAGTGCCACGCAAACAGGATGCTCACTGTCGATGATCAAACCCAAATAACACTCTGCCAATCTTCTGCAATTTCCCCCCAAGCGTCCACGCCCCGTATATCAAACCCACATGAACCAACCAAGCAACTAAACGTGCGCACACTCCCCTCAAACTTCATCTCCACCTTGATGTAATGTTTTGTTTAGACATCCGCACCACGAGTCGACTTGTGGCTGCGACACTGAAAACCCACCGACTCTCCGAAGGGCTCGGCCTTGGAAGGCTTCTTCGGTTTCCTGGAACGCGGCCGATGACCAAGGCCTTTCCCGAGCTTCCCAGGGCGGGTTCCCGTCCGCGCGGGGCGGCCCAGCGACGGATTCATGGGGTTTCGAAGATGGGAAAAGCTCATCCGCATGACAACGCGAATTCAGTTTGATGCACCTCCTGAGAAGATGGTTGGGGTGGATTTGGGGTGTCTAACCACCTGCTGAGGAGAGATGGTTGGAGCCCTAGGGCTAGTTATATACGGTGAATTCTCGGTGATGTGGACTTGATCTGAGTCTTTTGTTCACATGGGGATGTGCGCAATCAGGATGGCCAATGGACCTCCTCCAAAAACAGCTCGCTCTCCCATGAAAAAAAAAACTCCACGGGACTAGCAAAGGATATCTTAAATAATCAACATATATCTTCCAGCATATATCTTCCAGTCCTCTTGAGTGGACATGGGACCTCTGGAATGGACATGGGATGACATGGGATATGATATTATATACTCTTGGTTATCTGTCACCGTCTGTCACCCCCCATTTTTTAGAGGATGTTCAATCCAATGGAGAGGGTTTGTTAATCAAGAGTCTGCATGACCAGGGATCATCCTGTCCGGGTGTCCTGTCTGGAGATCCAATCGTGCGGTACTTAGGGTATATTCAGCCAGGACCACCCAAACAGCATGAAGCAGGCAGGTCTTTCTTTTCGATGCGGGAACTGGATGTCCTACTTTTGCCACTTTCGCCACTCTCCAACCGAGGACAACACCAAAGGACATGAGGCCAAGCAAAAGTCATTCTGGGATCAAAAGATGTTCTCATCACCTCCCTCTCCAGGGAGGTGGAGGCAGAAATACCTCCGCACTGCCGCTCAGAAAACCACGCATGCCCGTCCTCTTCGAGCGTCGCTCACGTCGCTCCAGCAACTTCAGCAGGAGCTTGGCATCGCACTTGCGGCGCCTCCGTGGACGAATCGGAAGTCGAGTCGAGTCGAGGACGGGAGATGACCATGGAGTGAATGGAGTGAACGTTGACTGACCGAATTTCAGTGAGTGGATCATGTGACGCTCCAACCATATCCGAAACTAGTATTTAGACCCCCTAAATTCCACACCAAACACCTTCGAACCGAAGGTACGACTGGAGCTCTTAGGATGGGTCCCCTACTTATCCTCCAAGCTCCATGCAGCTGCTGGGGGAGGTAGTCTGATGTAGTTTGTCCATGTCGCCTTTCCCCAGCATCCACTTTCAGCGAAGAAAACACCCGATGAGGAGCCCCACAACCCGTGGCTTCTGACCGGCACGCTTTTTGTGACCTTCACGGGGTCTCCGAGATGCGACCGTCACTGGATCCATCGGAAGAAGGAAACGGTGCAAGAATCCACCAAGGAAGTGGCTTAAGCCAGTCGTCTGCTGAAAACAAAACTCCCAGTTGAAGTTCCAGGTGTTTAGCTTCGGATTTGTTCAAACGAAAGTACTCTGAAAGTATGGTGTTGGCACGGTCCAACTCGTCTCTTTCTTCACACGCGTCCCGCGTGGCGCCAGGCCGCGAGAAAGCGTCCTCCGCGCCTGTAGGAAATATTCTTTCCCACAATGCTCCCGTCCTCGAGCAGCTGAGGTCCACCACTTTTAATCGAAACCACGTGCCAGTTCTACAGCGGTGCTAAGAGTAGATGGCAACACGCCACGGCCCAAACTTCCAAATCCGCTGTTTACATGGTCTGGGTTTCGTTGATCAACCACCTCTTAGGCGGTGAAGCGGTGCCCTCTCTTCAGCCCAAATAGAAGCTCCCAACATCAGCTGAATGCAGCTGAAGAGCGTCCAAAAAGATCTTCCCCTCAGGAGGGCAGGTGAATTTGGAATTCTGATGAGAGATAATGTGGATTATGTATACTGTATACAGTATACACCTCAACATGCTGTTGGCCCAATCTTCTGAATACTGCAAGTGGCGGATAGAATCAGGGGGTTGCCCAGAAAGTCGAGATTGGCTCAGCAAAAGTAGCGACACAGGTGTATACAGGAAGATTTCATAAGATGTCATTATGTTCTTCACTCAGCAATTGCAAAGTGAGCTCATTTGTTGTTGCTTCAAAACTTACTACAAAAAGGGGTGTTCCTACAACATGATAACCCATTTGTAGCCAATGAGACTAGTGTGTTGATTCCGCTTCAAAAAGAGGGGCCTTGTTTTTTTCAGGAGGTCGAGGCAGAACGAATCACCTCCGGACTCCACAGGCCCATGTTCAGCTCGTTGCTGGGACCATGAGTCCAAGTCACGGACCGGAGAACCATGACATATAGCTCTCGGGAAGCTTTCTTCTAGTCACCTACCATCATCATTCCTGAAAGCACACCAGTGATTCTAATATAGAAACAAACAAAACCATCAGATTCATCAGATCACTACCGGCGATCCGTCTCCTTGTGCGAAATGAACGGTGAACCCGTGAGAACGTCGCACGGGAAACGCGCCGCTTCTGGGACGCCGTTTCTGCCCTGAGCGTCCCGACGGATGAGAGATCAGTGTCCCTGGTGCCTGTCAGGCTCTGCTTCTGTCCATTACGCCCTGAGCGGAGGGAGGTCAGAAATGTTGGGGGAGGTCAGAAATGTTCCGAGTGGTCATGTTTGATTGGTCATTGGGACATGAAACGGGCATGAAGACTTCATCTATGTTGCCACTCTGCCAGTCTGAAGGCAATGGGATGGTCAAGTTCAGGCTTTCTGGTTGCCAATCAAAGGCCCATTTATTGAAGTGACTATTGCCTGGCAGGTGAACATGTTCATCAAATCCTATGACTAGCAAATATTGGATGATAAAATAAGTCTGCAGCAGTTTTGAGTCCACAGAAGGATCCAGCGCACATATACACAAGTAGTCAAAGTTCTAGACTTATATGTACAAGCTTCAAGAACCTTCCTCAATATAGACAGACTCCTGACACCCACCTACCTCACACCCTCCAGCCAAACCGTCGCCTCGATCCGATCCACGCGGCCACCGCGGAACCGAACTTGCCTTCGGTGGACACGTCATCGGTGCTGGCCGTGCAGCTGGAGTAGGGCACACGCCCCTCCTCTGCGCACGAACTCGGCGGAACTCGGCGGAGTTGGTCTGTTGGTGGCACCAGGAGAGCGATCGGTTGCGCTACTTGGAAGGTCAAAACGACATGGTGGACTGGTCGGGCTTCGATCACCTCGAACGTCGCCTCATTGACCCTGCCTGATCGACCCCCGTCCCAAACAGGTTGTGTCTGTTCACCCGGCACCTCGAAATGATCGTCGAAACAGGTGTCTCTCAGCTAGACGGGTGGTGAAGCAAAAGAAACATATCGAAACAGAGTGTGGACTGCCAGCGGCTAAGTGGGAAGTTCCAAACTGCTATATAAGTGAGAGTAGATGGCACAGACCCAAAGGTCGGTGGTTGAACCCCCATGTACTGCCAGACATCTTGAGGTCGGTCTGTGCCATTTCTCACCTCTGAAACCACTGTATTTATAGGGTAATTGGAACCACTGGAGTGATTGGACTGGAGTGATTTGAGCCACGTCGCCACGTCCTGGAGTTTCAGCTCTTGAGTGCACATTCTTTGGGGTCCGGGCTCAAGATGGGCCACTTGTGGCTTGTGGCAAATCATTCAAGACTTCATTCTAAGGAACATCACATATTGTCACATGTTTAGAATAAACAAAGGTGCAAATATGTGCAAAATGCTACTGTTCCAGGGTGTCACACTCTGACCACTAACATGGAAGTGGAACATAGGCTTTGGGAAGACAGGTGAACTCCACGTCCAAAGCAAGGTCTCACCCCGCTGTCAGAAGTGTAAAGCAGCTTTCCCCACAATCACATCGGTTGGAACTGAGCTGAACCCCTGCCAGAATCACTCCTGAACCGTGGCAAATGTATTATACTCTTGAAACTTTTGATCAGGTGGTTGAAAGATGTTGAAAGGGTGCAGCTTTCAGGGGTCTATGTGGCAAACAACCATACTCTTTCTCAAGGGGTCAATGCTGCAAACATACATATATCATCATTATATAGCTGTAGACATCGTTTTGTTAATGGGCTCTATCAGTCCGAAAAGGCTCACCAACGAGGACCTTTGGACCCGTTCGACCGCATCGCGACGGCCTCCGGGAGCTTCGTAGGATCCGCCCAGGCCAGCAACTCCTCAGCACCGGGGCACCGGTTCGCCTGGAAAAATAGGTTCAGTGGTTGACCGTCATAACTCGTGAACCCAACTGTCCACCTGTGAAAAATCAGTCTGACCGTGTTGTACGGCCTGAACCCGCTGACACTCGGATCAAACCTTCCGCCTTTTCGAGTGGCGTCCCCCCCATTCCCCCAAAAAGAGGTTTTGCAGGATATTACAACGGTTATTATTCACTTCTCCTGGGTGGGACACGGACCACCAAAACAACATGGTGACATGAGGCTCCAGAGTTTGGACATGGCCATAAAGTCTCAGGTTGGTCGTTCAGCAAGTCATCCTGCTATCTAACGCCTCATTTGTGGGGGTTTTGGCTGTTGATTCCCTGAAAAAAATATTGGAGACCCTGAAAAAACCGATCTTCAAAATCAAAAAACAAATCATACAACTGCCAGCCCAGTCCCGATTTAGTAAGCCCATGACCACCCAAAACCCTTGGATCGCTGATCGCATCTGGTCTTCTAATTACTCACTCATTCTTGATTGATACAGGAAATCGGTTCCCCATTCCTTTGCCCACCGTGTTGGGGAGACATCTAATGACACTGAGCTTAAGGAAGCGGTTCTGGCTTGGAGATCTAAAGAATATATTTAAAATCCGTAAAGGTCCACTGCCAGGGGAGGGGTCCTTTAAAGGGGTGTCTAATACCAACACCCTAGAAGTTAAGGGGTGTCCATTGACCACCCTTAGTAGAACGCCCTGGTGATTATCTCACATGTCTTCCTGACATTTCCACACCAGATTTCTCAGTACAACAGGTTCGTTGGATTGACCTTGCTTGACGGTTCTTAATTAAAGTATTCTTGTGCGTTTACAATAAAATAATGCAACACCCCCAGCAACCACCACCCCGGACACCCCCACCTGCGACGTCATCTGCAAGGCTAAAATGGCTTCACCGGAAGAGCTCTTCGCCACCAACGAGAGGTGGGCCATCACCTCACACGCGATGGGGGTGGGTAACTTAGTGAGCAACCCTTTTTGAGGCACTCTAAGCGCTCTAAGGGGCTTTATTTTATAGACATGCCGGGCACGAATGGCCCATCATGGATTGAACATCTATACACTCTCTGGAATCATCCTGGTTTGGAGAAAAAGCACCATCCAAGTCAGCATTGATTGGAACAACTTTGTGGAGGCTGTGAGCCATGTGTGAGACGTCCAGACGACGAGCGGCTGGACAAACAAAAAAGAACGCGCTCCCATCGTAAAGGGGCTTCCTTTTTGGGATCTACAGCATCAAATGACCCCACGTCAAGTGGTATCGTACCAAGTGCCTTCCATGTATCAACTTTGAAGGCATTTATTTTGGGAAACCCAAAGAAACCACAACGGAGGGACAAAAGGACCGGACGCAAGCACAAGCTCTCTCACCGGCGAAGCACAAAAACAAAACAATCAACTACCAAAGTGTACCACAATGTACAAGATATTATATATATAGAAGGGAGAACTGACTGAACATTCTTCACTATAAGAAACGTAGCTCCAAGCACAAGCACCTCCCAGTGTAGCAAGAATCCATCCCATTCAATTCAATGATTTGTTCCTCACATGGTTCTCTCTTTCATTCTCTTTCCAGGTCTCCGGCAGCTCTTTTTTGGCCTCTTTGACTAGCTGCCGCGAGCTCTGCCGCGAGCTTTGCGCGAGCAATTGGTGTTTTATTGGGTTCTTGAAGCGTCGAGATTCGATCTTCACTCCAGCACGGCATAGAGGTTCGTCGGATTGAGGATCCTCATGAAGCACAGGAGGATTTGTGGCTTGGAACCCAGGGGAAAAAATGACTGCAGCTAAAGCATGCTAAAAACAACACGTGGCTGGGCCTGTTGCTAAAGGATGTTGCAAGACAGTCGTACAGTAATTATTTTGCCCATCTTAATTGAATGTTAATTCGCTAAATTGCCGTACTGTCATGTCGTGGCTGAACTTGCACAAGGCCTTCATCGTGGCTGAACTTGCACAAGGCCTTCATCAAACTCGTTCACTCATGCATCGTCGTATGTCCAACATAAACCACAAATGTGCTCTGTGACATCAAAGTGTCCCAAACAAATTACAAAACCATGAACTTTCCTCTGCCTGGACCTTGTCCCTTCCAGCAAATGTACCAGGTCAACTATACGTTGTTTTTGTTTTACACATGGACACCCCGGGGAGATGTCTCAAACAGAGACGCTGGAGGATCAACTTCTCAGAGCCTGATCAACTTCTCAGAGTGTACAAAATGGATCAACCTAGATCCTCCGGCCTTGCGCTATTTCCGCCCCTGAGCCTAAGAACAATAGTTTTAGACCCTCACCTTGGTTTCAACCCCTTGCACAAAAAACTGCCCCTAAGCATTTCTGGATGTAGCGAGAACCTGAAGTCATCAAATGATACTTTATATAAGTGCTTTGATTTCAATCCTGCATGGTGGTTTGCATCTGTGAGATGCCATTCCGCATACAGGTGTTGTTTGCTCAAAGTCTGAAGTTGTGACCTCTACAAGCAATACAATTGTTACATTTTAAGCTTACGAGAGCTTTGTTGTTGAGCCATCACCCATCCAATGGTCTTTTCATTAGCCAATTATTGAACAAATCGAACTTGTAAGACCATCCAACATTGTGTATCCATGCCGCATCTCCGCACTGGTACTCTATGCGAGGATTGCTCCTTGGCTGCATGCCCACAAACGTTGTTAGTGTTCGAGGAACATCCAAACAGACTTTAGGGGCACTCATCACCCAGTTGAACGCCTTTTGTTTTCATCAATCTCGCTGATGTCAAAGGTTCCTGGCTCTTTTGAATCGACGAATTTCCATTTTGGTTTTCACACTATATGCCAAAAGAGTGTTGGCTACACAACACTTCGCAGACACTCGTCGGCTTTGTCTTGACAATCTGCCCACAAAATCTTCAGCCATGGAGCAGTCCCACAAAGCAGGATTTAATCCAAACTCGTTTTGCTTCAACGTGTCTATGTCGTGAGCAAAGTGATCCAATGAATGTGCCTTTGGCACCATGCCAAAAAGTGTCCACCTTTTGTTCAAAGCGACCTGAGCAAGTTTGGCATAAAGATAGAGAAACTGCTTCACGTTCCGGGGAGATTGAAGCGACACTGTTTCTTCATCCAAATCCCGTGCTTGTGAATTTTTTGCATGCCAAGCCCGGCTTCACACGCACGTAAAACAAGAGTAAGAATGTTGTCTCCTGGATAGCTGCATAGAGTCAACCCTGCAAAAAATTTCAACCAGCGCAAAAGCAAAATTGAATCTGAACCTTTGCATCCAATGTACGGAAAACTTGCTTTTGTAGGCATATGCAGTTTCTCTTTCGAGAAAGACCTAAATCCGGCAGGCCTCTCCCGCTGCACATGACACCATAAACTAAAGTTTGCCCACGCTGCTAGCAGTCTCTTGTCGATAGCTCTGCTACTTCCTGGTGTGTCAAAGTGCCCTTCATTGCAGAGTAAGACAATGGTTGAACCAATGAAGTTCCTTGCAATCCCCAATCGAAATATGTGGAATATATCTCGCCTGAACCACATAGAAGCGTTGCCTGTATCCCAACGTTCAAAAGCTAGCGCTGTAAATGGTGGCGGTCTTTCCCATGGCACATCACAATTGACAGTACGTTTCCACTGAGCACCAGCAGTAAAGTCTTCGAAGGGGCATGCAGCAGATCCAGCCAAACACTCAGAGCAACATGGAATCGAGTTTACATGGCCGACATTCTGGTAGCTACGGCTCAACATTCCGCACTTGCTAATGTACTCCAAATCACCCTTGAAGCCGATGGTTGCAAATCTGTATCTGCCTTCCGGTCGCTGCACACCCTCAGCACATAACAACGCCAGGTCTTCACAAATGCACCGCAAAATTGACAGCAAAAGGCCAGGAGTTGAGCGATATTCTTTGCTGGGAAAAGCAGCTGCACAAAAATGTGTCAAATATGAATGATTCTTTGCATTCAGTCTTTGCGCCATTGGATCTTCAAAGTCTTTGGCTGAATATGTTTCCTTCTCAGAACATGTGCACACCAAGGGTGAAGTGTTTGTGTCAAGACCCAAGGCTGGCTGGAGGCTGATGCATTCCAAAGGCTGTTTTTTCAATGTCCGTCCGCCGTCCCCGTGCATGATGAGTGGAATTACAAATCCCAAATCAGATTCATTCAGCGAAGTGTCTTGGAAAAGCTGATGCGAAGGGTGCTCAACCTTGTAAAGCTTCCAAAAGGTTCGTAGCAGCTTCTGAGCTTCATTTCCAGGATTAAGACCGCCAAGGCAAAGCCATGGAAAATGCTCTAATAGATATGTAAACATATCGCTGGGCTTCAAATACGGAAGAAGAGCAACATTGCCGTTTTCTTCACATCTATGATGTGAGAGTGGCACTTTCCTCAGATTTCCCCACTATGGTCACCAAAGAAATCACATACTTATAGACACTTAGACAACACAATCATAACAACCAAACACTGTCACATGGCAGGTGTTCAAAAAAGAACCAAACAACTCATAACTATTGAAACAAATCCATGATTCAATTTGAGTCCAAACCGGTCCACTGTTCGCTTGTACTGTCTGGAAGCATTCTTCTTGGAACGCCCCATCATTGATATAGTAGACGGATGCAAGGCTTCACACGGGTCACACTGCAGTTCAGCTTGAAGGGCTTCCCCATGTTTTTGGAGTGTTTGGGCAGGAGCCTTGGGTGTATGGCCCAACAACAGCCAACAAAAAAAAGGTAACTACTGTTGATTCAACTTGAAGACCGGGTCTTTGCACCAAAAAAAATGTTTCCTTTACACACATAAAGTAACTCCATCAGCAATGTTCTCCACTGCGTGAAGAAGCAGCGGCCCTGCTGTTGGGGTGGACGAGGAAGCCGCTGAACCTGGCTTGGATTTTTGTTGGTCTCAACGGAACATAAAGTCATACAGATCCGAAATCCGTTTTACTTCAAGATCACAAGCCAATTGGCATATTCAACATGCACATGTGTAACTGCTGTGGAAGAAATGAAAGCGTTAAAAGTTAAACTCAACATATTTTTCATTGTTGAGCTTCAGTTTGGATTGTTGCAGACACCCAGTGGATGTTCCATCACCCACACAAAATATCCCAGGCAAGGCCATTAGACCTTGCAGAACCCCTATATAAGTAAGCATGGATTCCTGGATTCACGCTCACAGTTGCTGTGGGCCGTGCGAAACAACAGCAAGGAGCAGTGGTTGATGTTTGATTGAACGATTTCAGGAGTAAGGAATGTATAAAAAACATATGAAAAGCATGGCCTCACACGCAGCGAAACAAACGTCACAAAAGCAGCTCGCTGGAAACTCAGGCTTTTCGCCTAGTACGAGCTGGCTCCTGCTTTACTTCCTTCACTTTTGGAGGCTTGGGCGCTGCAGGTTCTTCCTGGTCCTCCCTATCACGCTTTCTCAACTTGGCTTTGATGTGATTCAGGAAAGGCCTAGCGCCCATCACATGAGAATCACACGCATGAACAAAGGCCTCGTGCAATAGACTAAAGACTGACTCATTCGAGCGCCCCGCTGCGATCGTGTCACCAGGTTGAGAGCTTCTGCACACCTTGGTTCAGCGATCGAACCCTGGTAATCAAATGGTGTGAAGGGAATGGAAGGGGGTTGCGTCAGGTCAACAAACCACTGCACAGAAGGTCCTTTCGAGAAAAGATGCTGAGTAGAGTAGTATATTGTAATTTACATTAAACAAAATTGCGCATGCCGTGTATGCCAGGAACACGGACCATATGACATATCATATTTGATATGTCCTGTCAGTTTCAGTCAATAAGGGGAAAGGTGAAACATCCATTAAACACATCAAAGGATATGCAAGAACAGTTGAAAGACAATCTTCACTTATGTCACAGTCGTCCTGTGTTGTTTTGATTTCACCTTTAAAAAAATGGCTGCTTTGCAATGCCTCTATTCTTTGACTCCATGACCCATTCTGTTCAAGTAAAAACGATGTTCTAGGCAGGCAGGCCCAGGAGTACAAAGAGAACCAAACATATACTTGATAGTTGGAAATGCATTAAATTCTATGTTGTTCTCAACCCAGTTTGCTTCATGATTCATGAACTATATCTGTTAGCTTGTAAGGAAACACGTTGTTTCGACAGACGTCAACCAGGTGGTCCTAACTAAAGGCCTGCCTCTCCATAACGCAACAAAAGCAATCATGTGAATTATTCGGAGTATACTTTTGACAGGGCAGGCCATGTACTTGAGAATCATTTAGTACTCTCAATGTGCTGCTGTTATGAAAGAACAACGGCAGGTATTAGGAAATGGTACTTGAAGATATACTGCTGCGGAATGATTTAACTTCAGATCGCCAAGGCACTCCTTTCTTGCATCTTTGAAGACAGGACCCAGCGAGTCTTGGTGCCTCCATGGGAGAAAGACACTTTGCTCAAACCAGTGCCATGATCGTTGACAATGGGTATATTTCTTTTTGTTGTGACACGTGCATGAACAATCTATACAATGAACATGCCACTCTTCACTTTAAACCTCAGCTGAGGCACTCCTTTTTGAAACCATCAATGATTCCTGTGGTGTTGAGGGTCGTGATTTGATCTGTCACCTCCACCAACCTCTTGTCAATCTCAGCGGCACGATGGCACAACCTGAGTTGGACACGGCGCCATTGAGGTTAGTTGACAACTATACCCTCCTTAAACCCAAAACAACACCACAAATTGTCAATGCCTTTTTGGTTAATC